CCGCGGGCTCAGGCAATCCACTCACCTCAGACTCCCAAAGGCGTGGGATTACAGGCTGAGCCACGGAGCCCGGCTTCCACAGGTCAGTTTTTAACTGGCTCGGGTGTTCCTGCTGCTTTTCCCAGATGGATTATACACACCCCACTGACAACATGGGAAACAGAATGAGGAACATGGATGCTGCAACTGGATGGATCTGGATTCGAGCTCTGTACCTGCCACCTGTGTGCCTTTTGGAGAGTTCCTTAATCTTTCTGGGACTTCCGTTTCCTCACCTGTACATCAGGGATAATAACACTAAGGACCTCAAGAGATTAAATGAGAAAACACACACAAAGTGCTTGGTACAACAGATGGTCGGTAAATGTCAGTATTCCTCCTTTGGTCTTGTAGGCACTAATGATGCCTTACAATCTTTTTCTGTTTCCCCTTCGGATCTGTCACAAAGAATTCAATTAATATTCACTGATGGGTACAATCACAGATATATTTACTGTTTATCCTTCTATGATCTAAGAGTAACTGAAAGCCTTGAGTGAGAGGTTGAAGACCGACGTAGCAACCAGGTCTCCTGATTGCAATGGGCAGTTCACCCTATCAGTTTATTACTTCAAAAGGCAGACAGCCGATCCCAAGGAGCAAAGGGAAAGGGTGTGTGTGCACACCCGTGGGTGTCTAGACTGTTTCATCAGCTGAACAAAGTTGCCATGTTTTGACTCAGGACACGTCTCATGTACCTTTCTGCACGTTCTAAACAGAAAGCCCTCATCTCCCTGATTTGGACACAGAACTAGACGTCAGTCCCAACACGCTTCACCCAGAACACATGCTCGATATACGGCTCCATACTCAACACTCAGACACCAAGCCCCGGAGGTAAACCTCACCCTGGTAGAGGGCAGCGGGTCATGAAGGGGGAAAGCAAGGAAAAGGAATGAAGTAGCGAGTAGGGATGAATGCGTGGAAGGGAGGCAGACGCGGAGACACCATCACCCCCGACGCCACTCGGCAAACGGGAACCCGGTTGGGAGAGGTTCGCGGATGCCCG